CTAAAGTCTCTGTGGCCCTAACTCTGTCCCTTAATACACACAGGTCTGTCTCTCTTGAATGACCGGAGGCTAATGGAGAATTCTAAGATGGCCGCGATTTATAGCTCCACCATTACACAGTGCTGGCTGGCTGCTGATTGGCTAATGCGATCACATGTCATGAATGCATTATGGGTCAGCGCGCCTTGTCTGCGCGCCTTCCCAGAGATCCCCCCCCATCTTCTCTGTCCATTTTCTCCGTCGCCACACATGTCGCCGCCATTTTTGGGAAAATTCGATTCGTGCATCCGAAGTTTGCTAATCTTCGGATTCGTCGCGAATAGAATTTTTCCAAATCTTCGGAACGAACATGTCCAGTAAAAAAAATTACAAAAAATCAAATTTCGTCATAAATTTAGGCCAAAATGTATTCTGCTAAATGCTGAAAAAAAGTCCCAATACGTGTACATTAATTGGTTTACGTGAAAATTATGGCGTTTACAAATGGTGGTATATATACTCGGATTTATTTTTTTACTAGTAATGGCACTTAATGTTTAAAAGTAAGTAAAGGTAAGGGATACGTCTGAACAGGGTATAATAAGCAGGCAAAACTAGTAATTTTTACAAGATCTAATCTCCCAAAGAGTGAAAGGGGGGAGTCTCCAATTCCTTTACAATTTTACAGATGAGTGAAGGGAAACTAAGCAATAATGTTTTAAAAGTGTGGTATCCACAATGGCGAATTGTAAAAAAGAAGAAAAGTTGCAACTGTTTATTTTTCTTTCCCTTTCCTCTTTCACGGGAGATTTTTTTTATGTGGACACAGGACTAGAAGGGACTTTATTCTCAGGTTTTTGTGTTATTAATTGAATATTTCTGATATACACTGCCTGTGTTTTATGGGGTTGATTTACTAAAGGCAAATAGACTGTGCACATTGTAAGTGTAATTGTACTAATTTTCCCCAGAGCTTAGTGAATGTGGTAAAGCTCTGCTGATTTCTATTATCCAATCTTGCGCAAGCAAAAATGCCATTTTTTAAATTCTCCTTGCACCTGATTGGGTATTCTTTACAAAGTAATGCTTTATCACCACATTCACGAAGCCCTGGGGAAAATATGTGGAACTGCACTTGCAAAGTGCACAGTCTATTTTGCCATTAGTAAATCAATCTCTAGATACATGTGTAAATGTAAATGCCAGTCAGCTCTGCATTTACCCAAGCATGAGTGTATGATGTAATCCTTTAAATGCAAAACTGACATGTTCATGGAAATCCGCTATAGCATATTCATGGCTTAAACGACAATGCAAATGCTATCAGAGTTTACACGCGTATGGCTGTGTACAGCCATTCAATTGTTTTAGCAGCTGTATGTAGCATCTTTGGCTCCCCAAATGCTCCCCCACTGAGGTTTTCGACTTGATGGCACAGGAGCTATTAAACATCTATGTGCATGAGGCCTTAGATATTCAATAATGGAAGAAGCCCCATGCAGAGGTGAAAATCATGTTCCAACCAATAAGTAAAAATTATAATGACTGTTGGATTCAATCCTATTAAAAGAACTTGAGAAAAATTATTGTGAAATACAGAAACCTTTGTGCCCACTAAAGAGTATATTCATTCCAGTGCATTTTTTTTCTGCATCAAAAACTCATTGATAGTAGGTTGCATGGTTTCTAATGGCATAATTCACACCAGTGCAGTCAGTTCCAGTTCATTCCAGTTTCAGAAAAAAAGAACATGCTGCATTTTTTCTACACTAAACTGTACTGAAACGCAGCAAAACACATTGAAAATGCACCAAAAATGCACCAGAACGCACCTAAAAGCACCTAAAATGCACTGGAATGCATATATCCTTAAGTTGAAGAAAAAGAGAGGGGAAAAAATGTACCATACCAGAATGCATAAAAAAATGTGCAGACAGAAATACACCCAGAACGCATCCGGACTGCGTTTCTATGGTGTGAACTAGCCATCAGTCTGTGTTGATGTCCTTCTGGTATCCTGGTGCCTTCCTTTCAAAGGGACCTGTCAGAGCAGAATTATGGATATGCTATTATCGACTTTTATGAAAATGTGTGTTCCACAGCTGACCTTATCCTTTCTTCATTACTTGATGATATTGACTTAAAACGAGCATGTATCAGACAATGGACTGGTATATACTATTTCCAAGTCATTCACACTCTAGGTAATAATACAAGTTCAAGTCAGTGTTAATTTTGTAGACAAAAATATTTTCATCATAATTGTCATCAGCGGCATATTTCCAACAATGAAAAGTAAATGAAAATGACTCAGAATTTTTGGCAATTGATGATAACTATGAAAAAAATCAATTTTGTAACTGAACAAAAATGGAATGAAAATGAGAGGGAGGGACGTTTTACTTATAAAGATGTTCTATAATGGCTAAATCTATGTCTGTGTAGTTTGTTCAAAACTTAATACCATAAATAATAACATGTTATTAGATTTTTTTTTTACTCCAGGAGTATGTAATAAATCTGGAAATTCTAGAGAACTGTTAAAGTGTTACTAAACCCACTACAGTAAAATTAGTCTGTAAATGCAGTAAAGCAGTTATACACTCTGTGGAACCTAAGGGGTTAATCCTCCGCATTGAGTAAAAAGGATGTTTGATCCTGTCATCTCTATTATCCTCCCTTTCTTCTACTGCCCCTAATCCATCTGCTGATAGAACAGAGCCTTGGGGGCAAGCTGTACAAGCTCATTTTGGTGTATATTGCTAGAGAGTATTTTTTTTCTTGTGAGAGTGCATGGGATCAGCACAGGGCCAATCAATGCAGTCCAGACAGAGGTCCTGCAGCCTCATAGGACAGTGAGAGGAGAATGAAAACTCCTCCTACAAGCTTTAATCAGTGCTCTGCAGGGCACTGATAGAAGTCACAAGACTGCTCTAACTGTTGATTAGAAAAGTTATTTAGCAGTTTATATTTACTAAAATAATTGCATTTCCATGTTGTGTGTACTGTGGGAGACCAGATATAGTGCATGCAGGGTCCTGGGTTTAGTAACACTTTAAATAATGCATTACAGTTTAACTAAACCCATTAGATTTTAGTTGACTAAAATGTACTGGAGATTTTAGTAGACTAAAATACGATTAAAACTAAAACATTGCACTTTCTCCATCTCTAATGGGCCTGCCACAAAATTGTGACCTTCGGAGATGCAATTTTCCCATGGATTCAGAAACTGACGTTGAGTCAGATGGAGAAATCTCCCCTTTGTCTCCTCTTCCATGTGACTTCTACTTCCCTGAAGGCTTATAAGCATAGTGCCACTCCCCAGCTCTTGAATGCAGCTAGATCCTGGATCACTAGGTTTTGAAAACAATCTGTGTGTCCCACGCTTTCTGATTGGAAACAGGAGGTGGCTATAATTATGGAGGCTGAGCGATGGATATACTTGGTTAGGAATCAAAGGGAGAAATTTAAAGATGTCTGGCAGGGCTGGATGTATTACTTCTCTGAGATCCCGGGTGTCTAAGTACTTTTTTGGTAGATTGGACTTTCAGTGATCTCTGACCCTGTTTGTTGATATATGTACCTTGGTAATATGTGCTATTATTTGTTTAATGTTACTGCTACAGAATATTCTCCTCAACCCCTTTCCACCCCCCCACATATATATATATATATATATATATATATATATATATATATAATTTATTTTTCCTCCCTCTTTTCTTTTCCTTTTGTTTCCTCTCTTTGTTTGGAATATTGGAGTTATTGACTGCCATTGCTATTCAGACTATGTACGACTCTTGGTCAGGCTGTTTGTTTGCTTTTATTGTCTTATATTTTGTTGCTGTTTTCTTGACTGTTTGACATTGGCTTGTTGACATTATTGTCTATTCTGTATCGCCAGAAAATGTTAATAAAGATTTATAAAAAAAAAACATTGTGGATGACTAAAATATGACTAAAACTAAAATGGCATTTTAGTCAAAAACTAAATCAAAATTTGATATAAAAAAAATAACACTGGTTCAAATAGGAAAGCTCTGGAGTGTACACCTTCAAAGCAAGTCAGCAATCATAAATCCCATTTATATGTCCTGACAAGTTCCCTTTAAAGGGAACCTATCAGGATGGAAATATGTAGTTTTCTATTGCTGAATTTTTTGAAGGTACGTTCTGGAGGTCTGCCATCATTGTCTTTGATTCTGTTGTTAGTGAGTAACTAACTTAGAAGGAGCATGTAAGTGTTCAGTTGTCCCAACACATTTTGCATGCTTGACTCTTCGAGGAATACGATGATAGTCAAGGAACATGCACCTTCAAAACAAGTCAGCAATGACAGTTGTTATTTCTATCCTTACAAGTTGATTATAATGCCCATTCTGTGCCTACTGTGTGTGTGGTATACAGTATGTGTAGCATAATACAGTCTATACTAAAGCCTGGAATGAGTAACAGTGATTACTATGACCTTGTCTGGTCTACCAGGACTGGAAGATAGAAGACACTAACAGGGGCGGACTGACAACTCATGGGGCCCCCGGGCAATAGGGGATCATGGGGCCCCTGTGTCCTTGCCCATCTCAAAAAATCCTATGAAAAAGTACCAGGGGCATCTCATGGGGCCCCCTACTGACCCCGGGCTCTCGGGCAGTGCCCGAGTTTCCAAATGGTCAGTCCACCCCTGGACACTAATTCTATGTCCAGCTTTCCAATTAATATTTGTACTGATGATTGAATGTATACAGCTGACATATGTGTGTGTCATACTGGGTCATTGTGTCCAAAATTAACCAGCTAAACAATTATAAACAATAATGCATTAAAAGCTATATATCTAAATGTTTTTGAAAATGATTTCCCTGACATGTCGAGTAGTCAGCCAATTATGAATCCGGGTCTCAGGGCCAGTGCCAGTATAAGGTGACTTACAAAGCCACCTTAGAGAGCCAGGAAGGGGAAGCGGTGGGGGCGATAAAATCTAAATCCCCAACCACTTGCTGGGGTTTTGGATTTTAAACCATGCTCTCAATCACTGGGATCAGTGCCCACTGAAGCAGCTGATGGAACATGATATGTGTTCCATCAGCTGCAGTGGAGTACAGAGGAGACATCCAGGGTCTAATAATCCCCCAATGTCTCATAAACAATACCTGTCATCTATTTGCTATCACATAGGGGGCTACTGAAAAAAAAAAACATTTAAAGAGACACCTAAAAAATACAAATTTTAGGGCTACACACACACAAACACACATATACAAAAACACATGTGTTGAGATGGCTACCTAGGAAAGCTGTGTTTGCCCTACATATGTTATATATCACCGCAGTCACCAGAGTGAGATCGATAATTCCAGCACCACCAGAGATCCTGCATAACTCTAAACTGATGACCTGTAGGGGCTTTTAAAGTGTTACCTATAAGAAAAATATAGGGCACTGAGGTTTTTTACCGTTTCACGAGTACATGCAATTTTTACATGAGATTTGAAATTGAGACATTGAAATTTGGTATGTTGGATATCGATTTACTTGGAACAACCTCATATTATATATCTTACCAAAAATTGGTTAATAAATTGCATTTATGTGGCCAAAAATTACCTTTAGTGTATTTTTTACTGAAATTTTGTGTTTCATAAATTGTTGCAATAATATCGTGTAACATAAAAATTGTTTGGGGGATTTTAAGTAATCTTCAGGCCTAAAATGATTTTAAAACATGTAAACAAACAATTTAAAAAGATAAACTAATGGCTCCAAGACTTGTATTCCCCAACATTGCACCCTCTCTCCTACTGGTCATAGTGTGGAAATTTTAGTTTGCCTCACCTGCCAGCTGCCTCTAGCCAGTGAGGGAAAGGGGAAAAGCATAACCCACCCTCATTACACACTGCTGTCATGGAGGGAACAGGGGAAATGGGAGGACAGTGGGGAAGGGGCGATACATCTTTGTCTGTGTAGACAAAAATCCTTGCACCAGCCCTGCCTGGTCTACAACCTCATTCATACTATACTTCACATTAATCTTCACAAAAATCCCTATGGGCTTTACTTCATAAGCCTAAAACTGCTCTTTTCTGTTTCGAACGGGAATTGCCCTCTCAATTTTCTATTTCCACCAAGCGTACTATAGCGAAAGCCTGTAAAACTCCTACCCTAAGGTTTGAGGCACTAAAAAACCAATAGAATAATACTGTGGTTAATGAGAAGCTAACAGCTATACTGAGTGATACTCATGATATGTTCTTAAAAGTGTGGCAGCCCTGGATATCATATCCTAATCCATCTCGATTTGTCAGTTCATTGCTTACTATTTGATGGAACCATTGTAAGGACCCCTGGAACCTCTCTCCTCTCACCCCCTCCTCTCTCCCCGACTTCTCCCCTATTTTTTCTTCCTCTCTTTGGTTTTTAATGATATCTTTTCTCTGATCATCTCCTCCTTGGCCCTCCTTTGGTTTATACATACTACCTATATCTAGACACTTTCGCTTGTACCACAATAATGGTTGGTTTGCAACATGGGAATAACACCCACTGTACTCTTTTACATAGTGGTGATCTGCTACCGTAACTACTGTACATTGGTTATGAGAAGTGATGTATTCTACCTGATTTATCCTCAGTGATGTATCTAGTCAAAGTTTATCTGTATTTGTTCTGTTCTTGGTCTAACTCTACAAGTGTCTCTTGCATCATTATAAACCGGCTGTCAGGAATCCTGCAGCGGTAGCCTCTAGCACTCCACAGACCGGAATCCCCCAAGGCGCGGAATCTAAGCTCCGACCTGCTTGTTCACCAGAGCCCCTGATGGTGCGGATGGACTTGGAGCAGGCCGAGACCAGGTCGCGGCCCCTGGGTTCACCCAGCTGTGGTAGAGGCACCGTTGAAGGTGTATAGCGGGTAAGAGTCTGATGTGAGGAGGTAACTGAAGCAGCGTCAGGCAGGCCGGGTCGGTAACAGTGGTGGCGGTGTAGTACAGAATCAGCAGGCAGAGGGATAAACAGGTCACAAGCCGGGACCATCAACAGGAGGTCAGAACGTATGGGGTTAAGCAGGAGAATGGTCAGACAAAGCCAGGGATCAGAGCAGGAGACGGACAGCAAATCAGGATCAGGCAGGGTCGGCAACAAACAATCTACTCACAGGAACTCAGGAACACAGATAAGACCACATGGCACTTGAGCATTGCAAGAGCCGGGTTTAAATAGTCCGCCCGACTCCTGACAGGCGCTCCTGGGTCCTAGTGCTTGCCCAGCGCCGTCATTTGTGACAGGCATGCCTGGGTCCTAGTGCCCGCCTGCTGTACGTTTTGTCAGGATTCTACGCATGTGCAGATTCGATCGCTGCGGCGATCTTCCCATTCCCTGACACCGGCTGTCTAAATTGTGTACCACTGAAACTCTTAACAAATCTTTTGTAAAAGACAATTATTTCCCAATTGCTTTGTTTTTATATGCAATGAACATGAATTTAGTTTTCTTTTTTCTGACCTCTAAACATAAAAATGAATTCCTTTCCGATAATCTTCCATATACAATACAATATGATTTGTGGTACAGTGGGTCAAAGGGATATGAAACCTATCAATTTGTCCACAAACAATTTATTTGTGCATGTGTGAACTAAGAAGGGGACATTCATGAGATTACCAGTTCTGAGAAAAGGGTAATGCGAGTGCCAAGCAAATGTCATCCCAAAAAAATGGATTACTTTTTATATCAAGACATAGATATAAAGACAGAAAGACAACCAGATAGATAGATATGTAGCACCCTCCTAGGTAGGTGCTAGGATTTGTACAGTTAGCATAGTATAACTGTGTTTCTCTGTTTATCAGAGGGACTGTTAGGTAAATTTAGTTTGGCATTTTGCTTATACAGTGCTGCAATCTAGTAGTCAGGGCTGCTCATGATTCTCTGGTGCTGTTTGAGTCTGCCTTGAGTTCCACCTGCCTTCTGGAAGCCACGAGAGACTTCCAGAATGTAGGCAGCTCTGGCCAATTAAAGGGAGGGTGGCCCCGTTGCATGATGGGAGCTGGTATTTATATTGTGTGAGCACATGGGCTTAGCGTCCTACCAGGAGTGAATTACATCATCATGTACATTACATCAGGATCGAGGCTGGCTTGCCTTCCCTGGCATCTGCTGCCATGTGGCCTCAGGTGGGCAACCTGAGAGACAGAAAATCAGAGAGAGTGACCATGGTTCTACAGAGAGCTGGCTGAGGGGGCTGTCTATTAAAGATCTGGTCTGGTATCACTGGTATAGAATGTCGCTTGGAAATTGGAAGGAGGCAACCAGCTGTCCCTGGACATTTTGTGAGTACAGACAACCTAAAGGATCTATAGATCTGTGGCTTTAACCCCTCATGCTACTATAGAGACAGCTAAGGGTCCAGACAAGGGAACACTGGCTAGTGTTCTGAAGAGCTCTTTCCATTTACTCTTTGCTACAAGGGTCTTTGCTCTGAAGTTACTGCTACTGCAAAGGAGAAGTCTTTATCTGCTCCAACACGGACTTTACCAAAAGCTCAACCAGAAGTTAGATATTGTCCCCATTGTAATCAGTTCTTTACTTGGAGAATCCTACTAGATTTCCCATCCCTAACCAAGTTCTCTAACAAAACAACAAAACAAACATACATGGTTAGTCTGGCTGAAAAAGGACAAAAGTCCATCCAGTTCAACCTGGTCATTGGTGACAACAATAAAGAAAGCATGTGTGCACCTGGCTATTAGAATGACTGTGTGCTTGACTGCGGGTGAAGATTTGGGGAAAGGCCAAGGGAAGCTACCAGCGGCTGCTATAGGGGTAGTGCTATAGATAGATAGATAGATAGATAGATAGATAGATAGATAGATATCAAAGCAGAATGATATATGAACACTCATTCTGCAAATTCATCAGAAAGTCCTTTACTTTTAAAAACCTTGCGTCATTTTTAATAACCCCCAGATGTCAATTTGAAAAAAAAAACTGTCTGGAAACACAGGATTAGCACTTAACTAACTGTGTATGTAAACTGCCGGAGGGCTTTTATGTTAATATTTTACATGGAAAATATTATTTCACTCTAAAGCAGCATGCACTGCTGGATGTTTTATCAAAAGCAAGTGACAGCCATATGTAAAGTCACTGTTAAACTAAAAATGAAATGTTTTCATATATCATTGCACTCTAGTAATCACTTTATACATTCTATGTGTATCATTTGCCAGAAATAAAATATAGCTTATATGCCACTTAAAAAACATACAATATATTATCACACCACTGTTAATGAATCAATTGCTGATAAAAAAAAGCACAATTGTGTAAGCTTTGTTAACATTCAACATAAAGTGAGCTAACACGCTTGTGTGTTAATGTATCACAACAGCTTGAATCCGGCATAAGGGTCTCTTCCCACCTTGCAGTAACAAGTGGTTTACTATGGAATACTGCTACATACAGTGTAGTGCATAATGGTGCTATTTTTTCATATGTTAAGATGTACCTCTTGCCTAATAAAAAGTAATGGGATCACTATGGAATGAGGATAAATTAGTAAGGAGTATGCTATTCACTTAGCAGGTTAAACCTTGAAAATCCAATCATGTGCAAAAGAGTTGACAAAAAAAACAGCAACTTAGCTTGCATATCATTTAATGACTTATTTGACTACACCTTCACTGAGTCAAATGAAAACTGTACTCCTATAAAAGAAAAAAACAAAACCCCCTTTAACATGGACATTTGGCTTTAAAGTGTTATTAAAGCTTCAGTAATACATTTATTATGTAGTATCACACCTTAAGTCCTGTTCTTGTTGATTAATCTTTTGTCTCACCATCCAGTGTCTGCAGCACAGTCTTCATAGTCTATACCCCTGGTATATTCCCCTATAGAAGTGTCCTCCTGGATGCAGTGTGCTTTCCCGACTGGAACTAAGGAGGTTCAGGCACTTATGCACAGTATGGTTGTAGCACAAGGATGCAGAAGGCCCCAATTCTCATAGTTTGGGTATATATGCACAGTATGGTCTTATAGAAGACAGACCAGAGGGTAAAGGACCCAGAGGCCAAAAAGGGGGTTCAAATGAGGAC